TATTTTTATTTTTTCATCTATCACATTACATGCAATTTTGTTTTGATTTATCACAAGGAGTATATATTCATAACCGATAGCATATTGTAGGCATAAATATATATACCTATGAGGTTTATATATATTTATTTTTGGGTGGTTGTATGTCACACCTTCATATATTTATTATATACCTCACCCCCCAATACTTTATTTTGTTTATTTATGGTAGTAGTGTATTTTGTTAAATAGGATTTTTCTATTTTATTTATTATTTTTATTATATTATTCTATGCGAGGTAATATAAAAATCCTCGTTGCGTCGTCTATGTGTGGGTCTATATATATATATTACTTTTGTTTCACGTTATTATGTATTAGGTATATATATAGTGAGTATAGGTGCTTCCCTACGGGGCTACCCTAGTGGCGACTACATACTCACTCACCTTGAATAACAGACCACCACACCACAATACTGAAAAGTCCCTTTCGGATAAAAAAAAAGTGGAAAAAAAGGAGTTTTTTTTCCCCAGGAGGAAGGGGGTTTTCAGCACCAAACGAACAAATTCACACACACAGCACCCACCACCACTAACCATCACCACCTACCCTGCACCTACATCCTTATATATTACTTCAATAAGCCCCGTTTTATTATTTGGGGTAGGGTTGAGGAGATAAATATAAATATAAAATACTTATTTTTATTTAATATTTTTTCCTCTGTGTGTGGTGTGTGTGTTGTTTTGTGTGTTGGTGTGTGCTGTGTGTGTGTTTGTGTGTTGTATGTGTGTGTGTGTGTTGTGTATAGATTCTTTTATCCCTTATATACAATTAATTATTTGTATATTCCCCCCTTATTGTTTTATTTGAGTACTTTTTTCAAATTTCCTATATAAAAATTTTGTCATTATATCTCACTCCATGGCTTATTATTATTTATCCCCTTTTTTTTTGTTTTATTTTTTTTTTTAGTATGTATATTTCTACTTTATTTTTTTGTTTATATTTTTTTTTATTTATTTTTATTTATTTTTTTTGGGGGCACGTTTAACAATAGAAAACATAATGTAACAGAAAAAAACAACCGCCAAATAACAATACATAATAATAAAATAAATTACAAAAACATTACCAACAACAAAACCCACACCACTTTTAATTATATATATATATATATATATGTATGTATGTGTTGTGTGTGTGTGTGTGCGTGTGTGTATGTGTATTTACATGTATATGTGTTTATATTCATATATATTCAATATATATATATATATATATATATATATATATATAATATATATATATATATATATATATATATATATATATATATTTATTATATATATATATATATGTATGTATTGTATATGTATATATAAATATATATATATATATATATATATATATATATATATATGTGTGTTGTGTGTGTGGTGTGTGTGTGTGTGTGTGTGTGTGTGTGTGTACGTATATATATTGACAGAGTTATAGATAGATACACACATACATACATACATAAAATACTACTTGAAATCCATAGATGATGGCATTTATTTCGATTGCTAAACCAACATGCAGAAGGAAACGACCTCTTGGCTACCTTTGTTTGTACTCGATTCGGTCGAAAAAATTTCCGAGATCTCGCTGGGATCTCCAAACCGGGACGCTGATCTGATGGGGAGGTGATGTCGAATCTCGAAGGCTTTGTGGAGTCTCTCCGATGGTGAATTTTTCCATTTTCTTCAACGATGGCTCTGCCTGCGTCGGAGAGGAAGCACTTAATAGTATATATATATAAATAGATAGATAGATATATGCATATAGATATACATATGCATAAAATACATGTATAATATATTATAACAAAACACATATATATAATATATATATATATAATATATTATATATATATATATATATATATATATATATATATATACATTTACATTTACATACATACATATATATTATGTGTGTGTTTGTGGTGCGTTTGTCTTCATCAATTTTAGTCCATCTTTTTTTCTAAAACTCCCCCCTTGTAAGGAGGCAGAACGCGCCACTCATACATATGTGCTCCGATGTAAGGCCACGAAAGTAGCGAATCCCTCGTTGAGTGAGCAGGTCGTCCCACCAGCGGGCGTGACCAGGTGCCGAACCACTGGTGCGCCAGCTCGTGGGCCACGACTTCGAGCAGCGTGTCCTTGTGGTTTGCTGAGTCCACGTCAGGATCGTATAGAATCGACCTGTCTCTGGTCGGAGAAATTATCATTAGTAATGCTATTGTTAGTACTAACATTATTGCTTACTCATACTTGTATATAAACACAATTTAATTTCACGGCTTTTAATATTCTTGGAATAACTATATTTCCATTTCAACCAAAATCAATTCTTCACTGCCTTACATCATCGTAATCAGACCCCAGTTCTCCATGCCCCGCACTGCTATGTCAGGCACCGCCACCATATCCATTTTCGGGAGCGGGTAAGACACATTGAAGTAAGACTCATAGAATGCCAGAATCTTTGAGCCGACTTCACTGACATATTCAGCATGTCGAATGGCTGACGGCTGCGCCCACACTGTTGAAAGGAACGGGTTGGATAAAGCATGGGCGCGAGTTATGCGGATTGTACTGTGAAAGCGCGTTCATTTTTTAAGAAAGATTCCCAAAGAAGCGCTGCAGGTAATCTCACTTCGAAAGAGAGTGTCTTTGCCACTGGTGGAGGGGATGTAGGAAAAGTCCGACACGACGAAGGCGACGAGGTAGGGGACATGGGGACGCTCCTCTCGAAGCGGTCCCACACCCAGCCCTCCTGACCTTCCCTGTTTTTGTAGAGAAATCACCGTCACAAAATGATAAACCAGGCGAAAATGCATTCTGAATTTCGACGTTGTTAAAGACTCACTGACACTCACACAGGTCGCGTCTCGGCGAGGGGCATGTTGGAGAGCGACGTCATCCAGGTCTCCCTCGCCAGGTGGACCTCGAAGGTCGCCTTCAGGGCTGGCTCGTCGAAGCACGGGAAGGCGCGGCGGGCGTGGGTTGGAAATGGGTCACAGCTAAGTACCTGTCCGTTATTGAAACACAATATACAACTATTTGATAAGATTATGTACCTATTCATGTGAATCTGTTATGGTCTATATATTTATCTATTTACTCTTTCTTTACATTATTTGTGTGCTGCTTATTCTCTGGAGGAAGGACTTAATGGTGCATATCCATTTCCAAGTACCATTGACTCATAATGAACATCACTTAATTTTTAGAAATAGAAATTAAGTAACAGGCTCAGTGAGTGTAAAAAAATAATAAAAAAAAAATCAAAATGTTTTTACTTTGTAGTCCCATCATCGTCTCTGTAAGTTGACCTGTAGAAGCCACGAAGCTGGTCGTTGAGGTAACCAAGGAACTCCATTTGCAGAGTGTACCTCTCTCCTTTTATCAGCTCTTCGTCCATGTGCGCGACATAGAATTGGCGGACAGGGTCATAGTGGTGCCTCTTAATTCCAACCTGTCGCTGTTCTACGCCCCCCGAATGCAACACCTTCAACAGTAAATGCAGAGATAAACATAATAAAGATTGAACCGTATTCATGTTGACAAATGTGGAGAGGTATGAATGAGAACGAATATCTTCACAATACAAGAGATGTATTTAACCCTTCGAATAAGTCTTCATTTTCACACAATGATAAATATTCTAAAAAGGAAGAAAAACGTTTATCACCATCCTTACACTCAACAGGGATGTAGATTTAACACTAACAAACAGGACAAGAACTTTCACCTTGACTGTGTTATTCTTGTGATGATATCAAGCATATGGAGTGTGATGTTGGAGGTCGGCTCCAGGGCCTCCATTTCCACCTCCATGTACCCGAAGACGCTGAAATTGCCATTTACGAAAGGCTGAAGTCGAATCAGGTATGGAGTGGTTTAAGGGAGAGTGGAAGACGCGTAGCAGCTTCAGAAATTGCTCCTGATGAATTAGGTACACCTGCCGATTCTCCCTGTTTAGAATGAACGATGAAGTTTAGAAAGAAAACAAATCTCTAATTTTGGAGTCCTGCAGTTTGGATCACTTGATATAGTCCAGTGCTCTCGGCCTTTGATTGTATAATGCCATTCATGCTACATGTTATATTACTTCTTTCCTTTTTAAACAATTAAACGTTTCTTGCTTACGAAGTTTACATTCAACATTGACTGGAGCAAAGAATGCTGAGAGAGAGAAGAGAGAGAGGTGAGGGGGAGAGGAAGTTGAGGAAGAGAGGGAGAAGAGACGCAGGAAGAGGGAGAGAGAGAGGGAACTGAGGTGAGAGAAGAGAGGGAGGTGAGAGAAGAGGGAGGTAGAGGGAGAGAAGAGAAGGGAGGAGGGAGGTTGAGGGAGAGAGAGAGTATGCCTGGAATGACTAGGT